GGGGGTGACTATTGTCATGTGTTACGCCCTCATTAACACAGTTCAGACCTTTTAGGAGGCCAGCTATTTGGACTTCGATCCTGCCTGTTAGCGCTAATCCGGACTGAGTGGGATAAACAATGCACAACATCTCAGCAGACAAGCGGAGGAATACTGAATACATGTTTAGAGAAATGAATAATAATTTAAAAAATAACACAAAAAAACCCCGTGCCTCACGTACGTGGGAATCGAACTGGCGTCTTCGGTGTGCGACAGGAAGAGCCTAACCATTGCACTCACATGGTCAGAACAGACTCACGTAAAGTTTCAGGGTGAAGGTTTACAACCAAAGTTTTTCTTCCTTAAAATTATTTTTTTTATGGTAAGTGTTTTACGGCGCTCGCAACTGCATAGGGTCACATGAGCGCGTGGGACGCACATTGTCATTTTCAGTGGGTAGGAATTTTGCCAGGGTGGCGACCGAAGCCTACTCTTTATACGATATTTTGGACCACCAATTGTCCTTTAAGTTAATATACTTTAACGTGCACACGGGACCTCCGAGAATTTTCACCCTTATCCGAGAAGGCTAGTAGATCATATCTTCTCTACCATAAGATTAAGATCACGGGTGGGGCTGAAAGACAGCAGTTGAGTAAGCTGGTATTATACCGGGTGTCCGTTGCGGATGGGTCTGGTCTTGGTTGAGAAAGCCCAGGGTCTGGTCGATTGTGCGACTCATCGCCAGAGAACAAAACGTGTCTGTTTTTGGGGCGACGAGTCGGGCGATCGGTTTGTGCCAACATAGCCGCTTTGCGTCCTCAATCTGGATAGCAAACCGACCCGACCCGACCCGATCGTGCCAATTATGGGCACACGAGCCAATGAGCAGCAATAATAAAGCTGCCGAAAGAGAAAGAGTCAGGAGCCTAGAGGAGGGGGGCAAAGGAGGTGATGGGGTGGGGACAGAAAGTGGGGAGACGAAAGCAGACGACAGAATATTGTTGAGTTTGAGAGAGCAGGAAAGGAGGTGAAAGGAGAACATAAGTTTAGAGAAGAAAATTGTTCGTCGCTCGCTGGATACGAACCCGTGAACTATTAAAAAGAGGCGAACATCGTAACCTCTCCACCACAAAGGAAGTCTTCAACTTCAACTGGGTGTTTAGTGACGGTCACATTTGTCAACTATGTAGAGCTACATTAAATAAATTTTGATCTGTGTAAGAATCCAACTGGACTTCAAAGTCTTTCCATTTTAACTGATTTGAGAACAGATAGCTCTTTCCATTTTAACTGATTTGAGAACAGCTAGCTCTGCAGGTTCTCTATACTATAGCAAATCGCAGAGTTTTTACAATTATTTGCTATAGCTGTGTAAAGAAAAGGATACTATAATCAGAGTGAGGTGGAACCTCCCCCCCCCAAAAAAAAGTACATGTAATAAAAAAAAATAATAATACCCTTACCGGACCGGCATCTGTGACTGATGCCGCGGTTTGTGTTCTGCCGCTGCGCGCGTTCGAGTTTGTAAGACTTTTAGACGCCAACTCGATTCACGTGTTGGGAGAATTTTCAACGAAGAAGCCAATCTCTTTTTTTGTGCAAGGCAAATGTAATTTTTATCCCTCTCTCTGTCTCAGCCCAGGTTGGCCCTGACACTGAGTGACAGGAAGTGGAAGAGTTAATGAAGTCTCCAGATAAATAAAATTTCTAAATTGTGGCGATGGGGGCGAATAATGTTTACAACTGCACTACATGTACAATAAATTGATAAACCACCCTTGCTTTCACTGATGATAAAAATGTATATTTTTAGAATAAAGAGAGGCTTTTTTCCACCAATCTGTCCTCGTAGGTTTATGCACCCCGCATATTTTAGCAAAATTTGATCATTTTTTGCATAATTTCTGATTATTTTCCTTTATAATTCTTCGTTAAAATTAACAGAATCGCATAATTTCACATTTTTAGGCTTTTTACATAATTGTAGAATTTTTCTCGCATTATAAAAGACCAATAGCCGGTATCAAACACAGCACCTTTCACTTTCGCTGTTTTGTGAATCATAAAGACAGTGAAGAGTGCAGTGATGTGATAGTAACTCAGTAACTGACTGGAAGTCAGGAACATTTTTTAACTCAAAATTCACCTGTTCGCGTTGGCTCCCCAAGGAGATTAAAAATTCTAAGCTCCTTGGTTGGCTCACGTCACGTACTATTGTAGCGTTTGTGGCCTAGTGGTCACGCACTTGGGCTTGCTGCAGCCATAGCTTCTTCATGGGTTCGAATTCCGTCAGCAAAGGCCCAATGTTGTGTCCTTGGGGAAGGCACTTTACACTTTACACATGAATTTTCACTTCTCCCAGGTGGGAATAGGTACCAGGCTAGCGAAAGATCTTGTCAGTTTGTAACTGTTTGAGCACTGGATCAGCTGCTTGCTGCAGCAATGTATGCGTCTTCATCTTGACACCAAGAATGTTTCTGAGTGCTCTAGTGTCTGTTGGGGAACCGTTATTACAGTAATTTACAGTGTAGGGCAAAGCATATATAGATAGAGCTTGCTGTTGATCAGGAATATTCGCTACTAAAGCTATTTATTATTACATGTATCATTCCCTTCACTTGGTGGTCTTTTTGAGCATTGTACCAAGGGTTAAAAAGTTGCAACAAAACTGAATTAGTGTGTCTCATACTCATTAAAATAGGCTTCTCTTGTCTCTCTGCAACGTTTCGAGTATGGAGAGCCAGAAATAAGCTTATTCTGCTTAATACTTTCTACTTCCAATTTTTGGAAAATGCACAATTTTGAGGCAACGTGGTGAAATCAGGCGCTCGTCCGAAAAATCAGCATTTTTCGGCCAGATTGGAATTTTTTTTGCTTTTTTGGCTCAACACCTTGTCTGTACATTCAAAAACTTTTGTGTGTAGATTTGATGACACCAATATCTCCATATGCCCAAAAATTGACGAGCGCCCCATTCTACTGCGTCACGACACAATTTTAATTGTAGCATACCCTTCCATTTCCACGGTAATCCAGATTGACTCAAACATTTTGGGAATTATATAGGCCTATGTGCAGTTAAGCTCTTGACCATTTCAAGCTGAAGAAGTGAGTTCGATACACCTTAGAGGTGAAGTGTTTCATCGAGTATCTCCATTCATCAGCGGGAATTGCTGGGAATACAGCAAGCATTTCATTGGACATGCACGATGTGCATAGAAGGACTGGCCAAGGAAGACACAAAGTCTATCTTGTAATACATGTAGTAAAAAAGTTTCCATTGCTCACATTGTTAGATACTCCAGTTAAAAGAATTAGTACAAAGTATAGAGAGCTCTGCACTTTCAGAAGTACAGTGGAGTCCGCTTAAAACTGAATAGACCTACTGCTAATCCGAAAACAAAAATAAACTGAAAGGGAAAAAAAAAGACTTTTCTATTTCTCAGAAACTTCTCTGAATTTGAGCAAGCTTTCTAAAATGAAAGTTCGGTGGTCCAGTAGGGATCAGTTTAAGCAGACTCCACTGTATTTTGATTTGGAGGTCCACAAGTGGCCAGCTGGTACGTCCCTCTAAACTTGCAAGGTCAGGAATGGGTGGACATGCCCAGTACAGTACATGAAACTTATACTGTGTTAGTGTTAAGAGCAAGTTAGACTGTGGAAATGGAATTTAAAAAGTCTACTTGTAGGCCTACTTCACACAATCCCACTTATTTCCCTCAGTCTACAGGACCTGTGCACCTCAGTTCCCCAAGGCCAAGGACAGCTGCACGCTATATAATATATATATAGAGTGCAACACTATGAAATTATCGAAGTTCTATAATCACAAACTCTTAAGATTAACTGTACTATCTTGAAAGTTCTTTAAAATATAATATATGAAATGGAGAAATGCTAGTCTAAGCCAAGATAGAAAAGTCAGAAAATTACCCTTTCCCAATCATCTGTCTGTGTACATTAGACAAGAAGAGTTGAAAAGTGTACATGACTAACCTAAAACAAAAGAAGGGAAACAATTTTTGAAATTTAGGGAGTATATGATTTTAATACTAAAATCATTAATGGTGCCCAGGAATTTTGAAGTGTACTTCAGTAAAGCCACAGATAAGAGAATATATGTGAACATGTAGGTATGCCGTATGTTTGTAATAAAGAAAAATGAGAGACCATAAGCAGTAAAAAAAATTTTTTAAATCTTCTCCATTCTTTTCCTCCTCGACACACATGAATTCCTTCGTATTGAACACCAAAAAAAAAAAAGTAAAAAATGCTACAAAACAAATGGCAGGCATCTTTAAGCGAAAGAAGTCTTTTAATGAAGGAGAACGTATAAATAAGGAAAGAATTACAATTGTGTTCTGTTCTGAATTATGCACTTGCATACAATTTATTGGCATCAAGAAAGTGTATCAGACTGCCATTGAACATGTACAGCGCTAAAATAAAAGCAATATGCGCACTGAGAAGTGAAAAAGATATCACACTTGGACTATCGAGCCCTTACACAAACTTCATAGTTAATAACAAGAGGAATCACTGTTGCTTCTTGATGTATGTTGGACCTCTTAGAATGTGTCAATTTCTTCTTTCATGTTCAGCAAGCTTATTACAGGTACACATAAGGATTCACAGCAATTTGTTAGAACCCACAATCAAACAAGGTATAAAAACTATTTCTTTTTTCCCCTGCTGCAAATTTTAAAAACACCTTAAACACTTTAGCAAGCTAGAAAATGGAGGAAATGGAGGAATGGAGATTAAGAGCAGAGAAGGCAAGGAAGAGAGGCCAGGTCTGGGTCTTAAAGGCTGCGACAGGCTTGTGCACTACATCCCGACCACAGATGGTACGAATATGGTACAGGACGAGGAACTTGTCATTAAGCTGGAATTGTGACGAGGCATGACTGGCTTATTTTTTTTTCCATCTGCTCATGACAACCGTTTATACAAAGGGCTCGGACGTATGTGGACAGTCTGGCATACATACTCATCTTTCACAACTGATTAAGGTACTGGCAGAGAATGGTGTAGGCCAATACAAAAGATTATATGGAGCACTAGCCTGGTAGTTCTATTATTCCCCAACCTGGTTTTGAAGCGTGCGAACTCTCTGTAATACAACATGATTAAGAACATTAGTTTTTCCTGAACTTTTGCGATGGACTCGTAACAAACACATAAATGTACTAGAAAAGTTGTGGGTGTGTATAAAATTCCCCTGTGACATAATTGACCACTCTGGTCCATGGAGGGTTAAAACATGGTGCTGAAAACCATGCCAAATAAAAGGTCTTGTACAAACACAACTGGCTTCATTAGCTGCGAAAGACCCAAGTGCTTCAATCCAGTAACAATGCCCAGATGGTACGAGGGCAGATGTCACAGTTTTACATCAGCATATTTTAGCCCTCCAGCTGCTGTCAAGCTGTTGATACATCTGTACACATATGAAGGTACAAGCAAATAACAACTTTGTACAATCCTTTCCCTTCCAGGCTTTACCTGAATTCTTTGGTGGATAACAATTTAGTTCAACTTTTGCCTCATGCATTTTAATCATGTTGACAGAAAAAACGGGTCTACTTTTGTTTCTTTATTCAGCGCCAAAGAAACAAACAAACCCCCAAACCTCGACGACCTAACACAGCAAGAAAAAAGAGTGAACCAAGTTTTAAGTCTCGCCAAATTGTTGTAAGAGTCTGGCAATAGACTGAGCCTAGAAGAAGTACAATTATAAAAAATTGCAACATGTGAGTGAGATGAGGAAGCTCTTGAATCAACGTCGTCGACACAGGCACAAATGCAGGGCTCAGTACCCAGCCAGCTCGGCAAACGTGGAATCCAGCTCGTCCGAAATTGACTTGTACCTCTCTTTCTCTGCCAGCAGCTCGTCTGTAAATAGTAAAAATAGATGTAGTCGGGCTCCCTTTTCGGAACAAAACATACTCAATGTGACAGAGATTTGAAATTTGATGCCATCCCTCAAGAATAAATTATAGCAGGAAACGTCATATTGTGAAAAAAATTATCCCCCTCCACCTTAACAAGACTCATTTAACTTGACAAAACAATCAATCCCTTCATTGCCAAGGGGTGCGCGTTCCTACGGTCAACTCTGATTTTCAGCTATGCTCTTTATAGCCTGTCAGTGGACTCTCAGTCTGGGTCTGGGCCACTTATGACATATTCGGACTCCAGGTTTTCGTCATCCCCGTAATTTTTAACAAATTGCAAATCTGAGTCAAAAATTGAAATTTGCAGCATTATTGTCAAATATTTTGAAGTTTATGTTTTGTAAGAGCACAATTTTTTTCGCAGACTAGATCTGTGTTTATCAATCGCTTCCAAACCTAGCACTAAAGCAATACTAGCACATCTGGTTCCTATATATGTGCATGTTTTATTCCCAAATACAAATCAATGTTGTGCTTGTGGCTAAATCTCCATACAGAAGAAATAGAGCCAGATGATAAGTGAGACATACATGTAACGTCGTATCGGCAACCCGGAGCGACAAATTTTGCAAACTTCCGTGACAGCCCTGGTACAGCACAAAGTTGAAATTAAGCATTTTTTTAATTACTTACAATTTACACCACAAGGCAACGAAGGGGTTAATGTCTACAGTCTCAGTCTACAAAAAATTCCAACAGTCCTTGAAGTATTTGTATTAGAAAAGTATTGAGTACTTTTTTACACAACAAATCCAATGCACTAGTATCCTTGTAAAGGCCTTACTTGACAGTTCCATGTATAAAACACGCACAGATGACATGGATACAGTGTCAACAATTTCCAGAAAGGAAAAACAAATTTCAGTGTGTTTTTTAGTTCAAAAGTCCCCTGCCTTAGAGACCCCGGGTACACAATAATAAAGAAAAATCAAATGTTCCACCTGTCATGAACACTAGAGATTTTCCAGCTCTCCGATGCATTGATCCATTTCCATTCTCAATTGGGTATTCTGATCACGTGCCTGCTCTAGATCATCTGCAAACACACGACAAACCATGCGGCAACACATGCATATTAGTTCAGACATTATTTCACAAAGGACATTACTGTAAGTAGTGCCTTAAAACACCAGCCTATGCTGGTCAATCAGGTTAATTATCTTTCACAAGATTCATAACTTTTTTAGTAAGCAAACTCTAGATTCTAGTCATCAAACACCATGCAAATACTGCAATATTTAAGTCACACGAGTTCTAGCAGCAAAATTACTTAAATAATCACACAAAATATTTCCACAAAACAAGACACTAAGGCGTTAAAATTACACAAAATGTTAAAACTTTTCTCTCAAACGTTGATTGATTTTGATGATCAGCATAAGTGCAAGCAGGGATAATGCAAAATATCATAGTACAGACTTATGTCACATGCACAGACCCAAATATTACAAATATTTACGCAACAGGTTCACTTGCCCAACCCCCTGTAACCGAAAAACAAAACAAAACAAAAAACCCCACAAAAAACAAAAGTAGCATTACTGATAGTAAAATAAACTGCAAGTATGACAACAGTGCATGCACAGCTGCATACATCTAACATGGCTTGCCAATCACTGTGGCCCTTAACACACCTGGATCTCCCATTTTCCATTGTAGCTTATTCCTAAGAGTAGGTACCACAAACTGAAATTTCAAAGTCCTCTGATTTCATAATTAACTGCACTACCTTATAGAATTTATCATTCTGAGCATTTTGATACCAAATTTATACAAAGAGCTTCATTTTTAACAAAGTTATGAACATCTGAAGTTGCAGAAAAATGTTAGTTTTTTAATTTCGAAATGTCTACACTTTGAGATGTCCTAACATTCTTAAATTTGAACGGACATTCACAAAAACTTGTAGACACACACCTATGAACATAGAAAACAAGCTCAATTTTTTTCAGGGCTATCAAATAACCAGAAGATGGAACGTTATTGACGTAAACATGGCTTTTTGACCAAAACGGCAAAAAATACAAGGGGAGATTAAAATCCCCACTTGCGACCGCCGGCTTATCGGCTGCGCGCCGGGCCGCGCTGAAGGGAAGAAGAGAATTTATACGAAACCGGGGCGATGGTGCCCTGCTTGCGAGCCGATGGGGAGCGTCCGGTGTTATTTGCGTATAATGGTTGTGTTATTCTTGAAGAGGAATGAATGGGCTTTCTGCCAATATATTTCCGTAGTCAGTCCGATCACTGGTTCCATAAAAAACAACACCGAAAGTTTTCACATGCAAATCTCTTCTATTAATTCTCAAAGGACAGTCTTTAGAAATATATCACCGGAAAGAGCGTCTTCTCATCTTGAAATATCGATGAATCAGATTGCAGTATTTAATACCATACATACGCTTCCCGTTCCTGTTCAACCAAGGTCACTCGAAAAATCAATACACGAAACGCGCTGCCGCAACAGTGAAAACCTCGATAGTGTTGTCTTTTTCCCCCCGCAAGATTTTGCTTTAAAAAAAATCGTTGATTCAAATAAATAATACCACTAAAAAGTGGAAAAGCTCCTCTTTCTTCTGATATATCAAGTGTCTGTGTGTATGCATGATCACACGGTGTTTTAGGAGGGTAAAAATGCGGGTTTTGGTCTCCGTGACAGTGCGCCATGGGGGCGCACGGCCAGTTTGCGGTACCTACTTAGAGACAGGTTTTTTACAGTCAACAAAATTTTTCTGAAAATTATTTAATGAAATTTTCAAGTCAAGTACCTTCCATTTTTTCTAAATTTTTTTGTAGTCCTCCAACTTCTCTTTCTGAAAGTTCCGCCCTGGATTCCGCCTGTATGCAACATATGGAACACATGCAGTGAGTAAACAGGTAAATAGGGGAGGTGTGGGTGAAGCCATGCTGATCTGATGCCATTACATGCACTACCACAAAGGAATTTTATGAGAGCCTTTTTCTGGTAGGGGCGAGAGAGACATTGAGCAACAATCATTATTCCCAGTCACAGAAAACATCCCTGTTAACAATGCACTCTGGTAAGCACGAATTTGGCTAGTCTGACTGCCCTGTCTGTCTAGCCCAAAATCCAGCTGAATGGGACGCGACTACCCAGCAGAAGGAAAGGAGGCTTAATAAATTAACTTCCTGACTCAGGAATTCAGTTCATGCAGGGAAGAAAGCCACATCTTTTACCAAAGACACCTCTCAGACACTACAAATTGTGTTATTTAAGATCTTTCATACTAAATCTTGCTGACTTCTAACCCCCCCCTCCCAAATCCATTAGACTAGAGTGCATGGTTACATATAGGACTTTTAGTGAAAGCATTTACACAAATATCACGAGTACAGATATTGGGGGGGGGGGGGGGGGGGGGGGAGAGGAGAAATTGACAGCAGTGGATACAACCATTTTACACCAAGAAAGATTGCTTAAGATAAAGCTTGCGGTCAACTGATATCACTGGACCATTCAAAAAGAGAGTGTTGTCAAAAAGAAGAATATGCAATAAAGCATACTTTTTGTGATCCAAGTGAGTGAACACCTGACCAGGAAAAACAAGGAACACAATAGACAAGAGGTACCTTAACCATTGGTCAAAACCGCAAGGAACACAGAGGGAATGTTAGTGGGAAATGGAATTAAAATATTTCGGTTCTTACCCTCAGGGGCTTCGTATATTGGTGGTTATTTTTTTTCTTTTATTAAACCAAGTGGGAAGGGGTCACAAGAACAAATAGCACTGGACCTGGAGAATTGTGCCAGTGATGATTATAAACAGGAGAATATTTGTGAATAGATACACTTTGTGCAAGAGTGTACTAGCAATTTTGAAAAAATTAAAGTTGGAAAAAAAAAAAAAGGAAAAAAAAAAAAAGGAAAAAAAAAAGAAGGAAAAAAAAAAGAAGGAAAAAAGTGCAAACAAAACGGGTTTGCTATTTTTTCATCACAACTAGCTAGCAAAATGTTTTGCTAAGTGGGGAAACAACCACCAAAGATTTCTTCCTGGTACTTTGCCTCAAGGTTTCAGCATAAATGTACACAGGAATAAAAAGTGCTCCAGAACTCCAATCCATGAAAAAAAAAGAAGAGGCAGGTGACAGGAGAGTACGATGTCGGATCATGGGGCTCATGCACATGCCCTTGGGACCAACTGCAGGCGGACAAGCTGCAAAGCAAAACATCATTCTGTGGAGGCATATTCTACCTTCCAATCTGTCAACCTCCTTCTGCAGTTTGGACACAGTGCGCTCTGCTTCAGTGGCACGGTTCTCAGCCTAACAAAACAATTTAGAAGACAAGTAGGAACAAACAGACAGTCATATGACAAATCTGTACAATACTAAAGATGAGGTCTCATTTTAACCATACAAAATTTTGGCACCTTATCTCAAGTAAAAAGATAGACCTCGCATAAGATAAACATGTTTAAAATAAAATACCTTCAAACATTCACACAGTCAATAGAAAATTACAGGAAGGCTGTCAATCAAATGTGGTTGCTAGACATTATAAAGTGCACAAATATGCTAAAGATATATAGTTAATATTCAACACTAGACGGAAATTCCTTAACTTTTAGAGACTCGTTAAAAATCAACAAGAGATTTTCAGATAATCGAACAGACAACAAATTTGTGACTCACATCCTTGAGCCTCTGTGTCAGGTCACGGATTGTCTCCTCGTAGCTGTCCTCTCTCTGGGAAGCCTGTTTTTCAATGGAATGGTACAAGAGTGAGTACTTGGAATTTGAATTACCATGATAAAGGCACCAGGGAAGAAAGAATTGTAGAGTGACACAGCATATATATATACTTATTATGTACATGGGCACTGTAAAATGTTTGAACCACTTATTTGTCCTTTGATCTAGTTTATAAAAAAAACCGTAGTTGGCAAATTTTTGCAGGAAAATGAGAAGCAACTAGAAAAAATACAAAACAACAACAGCTAGACCGACTGAAACAGAACAGGGAAAGAAAACCCCCCATTCCTAAACTTATCTTTCCATCCCCTCCATTGTGTGAGAAAAGGTACATTCTTGCAATACCCTCTTTTGTGCACTTCTAAACAAATGTCAATACATATATATTCAGTTTTGGAGCCTGAAGGGATGTACTGGTACTAACTATAAAATAAGACTGCATAAAGTTGATCCGTCATGTTTCCCAACTTATTTTTAAAAACAGAAATATGTGAAGAGCCTGTTATAACAAAGCATCAATTGGATTAGATTAATATTATAGACAGTTTGTTAAAAACAGGCATATATCTAAACCACTGACACATAACAATATAAGAATGCTCTTTGCTTCGGTTATTCCCTTGTCAGCATAACTCTACAAACCATATCATAACAAAATTTATATGAATGCAAAGAACTTCATGACAATATGGTCCCAAGTCCCAGTTTCCTACGTTTGAATGGTATGACTTTCACCTTTCTGTCATTGGACAACATGAAAGTACTCACATGACATGCCCAGAAATCAATGAGGTTAAAGGAAATTTCATTAATGTTTAAGAAAATATACCAAACCATTCCCATCCCCGAATATAAGTCTTGAATCAATTGACAACGCAACCTTAATACTGCCAACATCTTTGCGGGTAGAAAAAGATTACTTAATAAATTGTAAATCTTTCTTTAGCCACCCCCCAAAAAAGATCTCCAAAAGAAAATTATTTTAAAAAATTAAAATCCAAATCATTCAACAAAATAAAATAAAAACAACTAAAAATATCTATATTGCTTGCACAAACGGGGGGCAAACACCAACTTAGTCAGCAATTACTTAAAACAACAGGGAGGGGGGTGAGGGGTGTTGGTGGTGGTGTTATTTAACAATATTGCTTAAATGTGAAGCAATATCTTAAAAAAAAATTTAAAAAAATGAAACAGACAAAATTGTATCTGTCCGTGAAAGGCTGAAGTGTGGGAGGAATTACCATGCAGGTTTGAATAAATTTCTACAATATCTCAGAAGCTCTCACGCATGGTTAGTTGCTCAATGGTTCTTCACATATTTCAGGTTATGGTCCTTACTGTTCGAGAGCCCAAAATATACTTCATCCATGCATAATGACAAACAGTAATCTTAACTTTGTAAAGGTTCGTTACAAATACAAGAGCCTCCACTTGCTCTAGCCTCTATCCCACGCTGGCAAAAAAAATACATCCCTTCAACTAAAATGGCTCATGTATAGTTTTCAAAACTATGGATATCAAAATTCTCCACTAAAAAAATGTTATAGCAACCACAAATGTAATGGGACATAATAAAAATGGCACAATTTTTTATACATTAAAAACTTCTGAAGGGAATACACTTGAAACATGGACCACAGTTATTTATGAACATTTATCGTACTGAAAGTTCTTGAAAAAAAAATCTGCATGACTTTTTCGAATGAACACACAAAGCATAAAATAGTAACACTAAAGTCAACTTATCAGATGGCTGTAGAAAGACCATCAATTTAGAACTGTAACCATCCCTATGGGTTTTTAAAAAATAGTACAGAAAATAAATAACAAAACAATTTCATAAACCATAAATATATAAAGTGTGAAATGAATTGGGGTAGAAGGGGAAACCAGAAATGCTTTGGTTTATTCCTGCCAACCTTTGTAACTGTTGCACTTTTCTTTATCATTCAAAAAGTTTCTGCTCTGCAACCAAAAGGAGGGAAAAGTCGGGGATAAATAATAAAGGAACGACTCATGCAGCCGGTGAAGGGTGTTCAATTTCTTTTCATCCCCACCCCCCCCCCCCCCCCCCCACCCCAGGCAATTCATATTCATATACCCATTCCATCTTTGAGATAGCAGATTGTTTTTAGTGAACTTCCAGTATTTAGTACAATTCCCTCCCCCCCGGGTGTCTGTTATTTGTAATGGCAAAGTTGATGCAGCAATGTGGAGATCTCCTTTATTTGCATGAACCTTTGCCTTCAAACAAAGTTACCAAAACCATTCCTACAAAAAGCTAAGCTCACAAACTGATTCTACAATGTGAAAGTAATTAGCATCACTGAACCTGTCAAGGCACATTGGATGGTCGAGTTCGGTGTTTCAGAAAATATGGCATATAGATCAAGAGTGCAGGAAAAGCTTAAAAGTATGTGTTGAGAGTTCCAGAGAAACAGTTCAATCAAAGCTGATCAAATCTAAGAACATGAAATATTATGGGCTTTTCCAAGGCAATGCCTTTGTACCAAACTATATAAATAAAAGAAGTAAGCTAGTACTTTGACCATTTTCTTCAGAACAATTGTTTGGACAGGACAGAATCTGATGTACTGAGACAAATAAAATGCCAAGACATGAGATGGCTGGTGTGGCTATTGCCGGACTACTCCTTTCTACCATCAATTATAGTTGTGCAGCATGGTACTCCCTGACTAAACCACGACTGACAACAATTTATGATAAAATACATTAAGAGTACAGGATCTTGTACTTAAGCAAAACTCAAAAAGATCTTTGTTTAAATTGTAAAGAAAAAAAGGAAACAAAATCAACAGACTATCTACGAAAATGAAATGAAGGATAAAGGAGAGCAAGACTGACTACATCCTTGAGAACATGAAATCGTCATTTTAAAAAAAGCACCAATAAACTATCTTCTTACAAGTAACTTATACAATTTCAACATATGTCGCTATCAAGATATCTGAGATGCCTGACAGGTTCAGTGGAGACATGTCATATTCTCAAGCCATTCATTCCTTTTATACAACTTTTTTTCCCCCAGCAAAGATATTTTGGGCACTCTCATAAATTGCATGCTTGGAAATGCATAGCTGCATTTCTTCATTTTAGTGGAAAAACTGTCTCATTGAAATGGCACGTATTAACTGACACCATGCAGGTTTTTTCCAGGTGGGAACGAGCGTTTAGAATTCTGCAACTTCTACCTCTTGTTCACTGATTTCCAAAGATTTCATATTGTTGCCCACAACCTTCAACTCTTCCTCCAATTCAAGGATTTTCCTGCAAGAACAGAGCAAGTATGGTTAAGCAAAAATTCGAATGCTGGCAGAAAAAAACCGCAGGCCTGGCCCCTTATACTCTGAGGGCCCCTGCTTACCTGATCGTTTTGGATGGACAGGGTTTTGATATTGTTACCCACTATATGAAGCTCCTCATCAAGCTCGTAAAGTTTGCTGTAATGGGAAGAAAATAAAAGTGCGTACCATTTGCTTCGCTCACATGTGTGGCCATCTTTTAGTACTAGCCAACTGAAGACCACTTAAGTCTCATGCCAACACATATGCTCGCAGCCGCAGCAGCTTTGCTTGCAAGAGCTTTTGATGTCAATTTATTTCTTTTGGGAGAAGAAAAAACATAATTTACTCTTCCAAAAAAAAATTAAAAATAATAATGATAAAAGACATTTTAACCGATTTCTCCCATTTCAGAATCAAAAAAGAATTTTTTAAAAATGCTTTAACTCTAAAGAGAAAAATTCCCTGATCTGATCAAACTGAAAAGGGTAATTACTTTACTTTGAAAACTCCCTAACAATCTAGCAACAGAGAGCTTGCTTAAATTAATGCATGGTGATTCAGCTGCTGCATCCGTTGTCGCTAAAGTTAGAAAAACACATGAAGATAGTTTTCAAAGTACTCAAATTCTCATGAGGAAATTAATGTAATCACAATAGGCAGAGCGGGCGCACAAGTCAAGATCACCATGCGAACAATCACCAAATGGAAGAAAAAGAACCACAAAGATCTGCCACAAAGTGGGCAATGTTTACACAACTCTGTCCAACCAAACGTAAAAATGGAGTGGGCCGGGGCGGTCTGCAGTTTTTATATATCATTTTGATCAACGGAGAACGCCAGAAGCGCTATCCGCATCTTAATTCATCCAGCAAACGGAGGTCAATGATTCCAGAAATAACATCTCAATCAGCTTTCGGCATTTAAAAAAAAAATTTTTTTAAAAAAGAATTTTTAATTGTGATCAAACTTTGATTAACAAATAATATTATTCATTTATTTGGTTTTAGTTTCCAACAGCTTTCATACCTGTTGCCAACTTATAGACTGCCGATGTCTTTTCTGAAGTCATCACCTCAATTACATTTTAACTTGTCATGGCCATCACAATGAAAAAGAAAACTACTCTTCCAATGAGAGTATACAATGACAACAAAAAGCCACTTTCAGCCATTGACAAGGAAAAATGCATAAATTATCAAGTTATTCTAAGTTGACCTTCACAAAAGAGTTGATGTGGTGCAATGACGTTAGAAAAAAAAATTGCGAAGGTTAATGTTAATTGCAAGCCTTACCTTCTCCTCACATCGCTCTAAGGACCTAAGATTATTGGTTAGCACATGGACTTCCTCCTCTAGTTGTTTCACTTTTCTGCAAAATTCAAAGGCAGTCACATACACATGCAAAGTCACACATCATGCTGGTTAGTGCATTAAACCTCCCTCCCAAAGATTAAATGGTTCCAGATTTCCTTAAATGTCATCACAGACAAAAGCAGGTTTTGAAAGTTGCCATATCCTGAACACATGCACTACACCTATGAATTGGAACAACATGTCCAATTTCTTTTTCAAAACTGAGTAGGACCTGCTCTTCTCGCTGTTTTTGTCATTCTAAAATAACTGTGTGCAGCAGTCTTATTTGCACAAGCTCCCCAAAGACACTGTCAATGTAACAAGGACACAGTGTGGAGCTCCTTACCTACACATTTTAACTAGATGCAATTGCAAGCAAAGAAAAATTGTGTGTAAATGATTTTAACTGAGAAAGAGGTAGAAAATCTTTCACCAACACTCACTGATGAAAACAATAGCAGCTTATTGAGCCCTTCAGCTCTTTTACAATAATGGGCCACAAACAGGGCACATGAACAAGTGCTTTCAGCTGCTCTGAAAAACTTCCCTTTTTCTCCTACATGCACGTCTAATACACTTCTACACAGGCTTTTAAAGTGGTGTTAAAATACAGACAACACAGCAACACGAACAAATCTGTCAACCCATAGTGTATGACCCAGATGTCAGAATTACAAGTTCTTAGTAAAGACAAATTAAAAAGTAATCCAAAATAAAATTTCACTTGGATTTTGAAAGAAAGAAGCCAAAAGAAGAATGTAGCCAAATTCTATGATATACACAAAGCAAGGAACTTGTACAGACAGAACTTGGTCCCTTGTGATAGCACATAGGGCAGAGAGAAATCATTCCAAAAAGGGACAAGAAAGAATCTGTCCTTGGTCAGACCTAAACCCTGAACTTTAAAGTTATCAGTCAGTCAAGTTCATAAACAAATACAGCTCAGCGCACATTATAACCTATTTCAATGACTTCAAAAAGTGTACTTGATGAGCTGCATAAGCTAAAAGAAACAACCACAAGAAAGATACCAGGAATACAAACAAAACTGAGACAGATGTAACACGGCAATAAGGAATGCAATAGTGTTTTAATTCAACTACTTTAGAACATAGAGAATCAACAAAACAAGTCACAACTTTCACTTTACAGAATTACTAAAACACATACAAATGCAATATCATGCTCTCTAGTATTATCTGTGCTGCCATGCCATCAATTCACTTTGAAGTCACATTATCATCATATGAATAAGACCTCAAATGCTTAAACCAGCATATGGTACTACATCAAACAATACTGCTCTCTAATTCATTCAGGTGTATGCAACGCACACGTGCCCGACACTGTACTTTTGCAATATGTGGCCAAAGGACTTTTCAATTACTTGGGAATTGATAAATAGAGCCAACACTGGTCTATTTTAGACGGATGCGCAAAGTTTTGTCCAAGAACTAAGCCTGCTTCCGTTAAAAGTTGGTCCAAACAGGGCATGCAGCAACCCCTACAGGGTTTAAACGTTCACACAGTGAGTGTGTACATGAAAATGTAATACCAATCACCTTCTTAGAAATTCATCATCAAAATGTAACAATGATTCCTGTGTAAAGAGAAAATAAACCACCAACCTTTCAGCATTTTCCGCTTTCTCTTCTGCCTTTTCTAAGTCCGTTTCTATGACCACCAATTTTCGTGCAGTCTATGGGTCATTGGGGGATGCACATGCAACAAACATATGGATGTATGATCAATTATAGATTACTTATTTACAACTCTATCAAAATTGTTCGAAACATGATGGGTAAAGAAAGGCATCAAATTTTCATTAAGAAAACCTTGAAATAGAAAGAGTGAATTATTTTCTTGCAGTTATTCGGTAATTCTTCTTTGAATTTAATTGTTAATTCCTGGGAAAAGTGAACCTGGAAAAAAAATAATAATGTCGCTGTTTAGCAGGAAGAAATTGGGAACTGCTCATTTTTCTTGAGGCGGTAATGTCAGATTTTCATAATTACAAAATGATGCCTTTCATTATACCAAATGCTTGTAAGAAAGCCCAGAAAAGGGAGTATGTGGGAGCTGACAGTTGGTACAAAGGACCAGCAAATTTCAAATGCCAGTCAGCTCCACATCCTCCTCAGCAGAAAGTTAAAAAAACAAACATGTTCATAATTTCATGAAATACAAATCAGCAACAAACAGAAACAATACAATAGTTTTCTCTTTGATCTCCACTGAAGACGGTATGATATCATTCCGGGGAAAACTGAGAAAGTAGGAAAGTTATCAGTTAATGTATACAAATTGACATTGAACAATATAGGAAGAGAAAACTACTGTTTCAAAACCATTTGTTTTGCTTGTTGCTGACATGAACATATTGCCATTTCACAAAAGCAGTCGGAGAGCACAATGGCAAGAGAGCTCTACTACTTACGCCTCTGCCGCCTCGAGACGGGCCTCAGCACGCTCCAGATCCACCTCTGTGATGGCGAGCTTACGGGCAGCCTGCAACAAGCACACACCAACCCTGTCAACTCCTGATTCCTTGCCTAAATACCTTCTCACCTTTTCTTGAATTTTTATTTTATTTTTTTTGTTGCATACCCCATAAAGACAATGATTTTCTTAAACAGTAGAACAAAACTTTAATCATAAATGGTAGAACCTACAGAGAAGTGTAACCTTTGCTAACCCAAAAATATTTGATTACCAATATAAAGGTGTCATAGCAGGAAAATTGATACTTCAGTGACTAAAACAAAAGCAGAGGTATGTGGACTTCAACTTCACATGTATGACCTAAACACACCTTGTAAATGTCAACATAGAAAAAATATAACAACAAAGCCTTAGCTGTGTTAAGTAATCAAACATCTGAACCTTTAAAAAAGTCTCAAGGCAAAAATAAACTTCTCTGTAACAAAAAGGCAATTTTTAAGGAGTCTACCAAAGACAAAATAGCAGTCCAATCCAAAGAGATACATCAGGCACTCTCACTTGTGCCAGAATAATAGACCAATAGCAATACTCCACATACTTTTAAGGTAACAAAAAAGAACCACAATCATTTTTTGAGTTTTTTAACTAGTATAGATTTATATTTGGTTGTTGTTAAACGCTGAACAGAAGAAAAATTATTCCATATGGACAAAGAGTCTGAAAGTACTTAATTCATTGAAGTAAAAATGTAGATTGGTTCTGACAAAACAATTTGCTTTATGAACAATTTACATCACTAGTCTTACATATTACAGCCAATGCTCACAATGAGTAATTTAAAAATTCTATTAAAAAAAGCAGCCCCTCAGTCTTTCTGGTTCTTTCCCATAAACAAACATAAAATTGTAGCTTTGTTCCTTTCCAGTTTTCTTTTCCGGCTATTCTATACATTTTGACTGGAATTGGAATGTACAAGAAAAAAACAACCCCACATTCACAAAGGTGCATTCAGGCGTCATGCTGTGAGTCTCGAGTCAGCAATTTTTCAAAAGAAACCTTTTCTTCTTCAACTCTTTATCTGACACTGAAAATAGTATTAATTAGTCACAACCTCTACACACTTTATCTGTTTATTTTTTATTTAAAAGAATTTGTCAAGTGTTGTACTGATTAAGTTACTTCATACGACTTTGAATTACATATTAAATGTTTCTGTTAGCAACGATTCATTATTGGTGGCATGCAGCAGGCAAGTAGGTGAATCACATGCCCTGAAACTCAGCATCACAGGGGTGCATCCATTCTTTTCACAAAACTGTCATATCAGCTGAAAATAAGGAAGGCTTAATACACAATGTTGATGACAACAGGAGAAAATCATTCAACAAGCAAACTGGATATTTTCTCGGTGCTGTTAGGCATTAAAGTCATTCTGGAAATTAGAGCACATTTAGACTGAATAGTGTTACTACTCGACACTGCATGAGATGATCATCCTTTCTTGGAAGAAGGTAAATAACTATTAGCATGCATACTAACAAACCAAGAAAAACATTCTCAAAGTAGGAACTGGTTATTTTCAGGACCTCTGAAATTTGAAAACGTTGGCACTATTATATTTGAAAAGTTCCAGTGACAGGTACTTATTCCACAATTTTTTGGCGCGCACATTGTTTTTTGAAAATGAAAGCAAACCCAACACCTAGGTATGCAAACACCTCAGGAAATAAAGAAGTTCCAAAATCTTAGTCACCTTGTCAGAGTAAATGGTTATTTACCATGAAACGTCTAAAAGAATCTACAAACTAGATTGTTTGTTACTGGGGGAGTAGGGACTTTTCTAAAACCGCTAGAATCTAACATTTGCAGCAATATCGTTACCATTATATGAATTCCAGGTACAGAGCCCTTCTTCTCCCCCAGAGATCCTCAAATGGGACCATTGTTTTTTGGCCGAAAAAGGAAATTGGAAATCTTTTCTACAGTGACTACATGTGCAATTATATCTCATGGTGACAATAACCTGAGGCACTACCCCAATCTCTGTGCTGTTTACTAAATTTTGTTGAGGCTCGTACAGGTGTTTTATAGTTTCTTCTAAAGAAACTCAATTTTAAGGAATTTAATAATCAAATCGGTTAAGGAACACAGTCCTGACCAGGAAAAATAATACATTTTTTTGCCAATTTTCAAAATAGTAAATGATGAGCCAGATTATTACATTCCAAGAGCAAGTTAAGTTTAGTAACATGGGCAAACTCTTCAACTATCTCTCATGAGTGGCAATCAAAAATGGAAAAAAGATGCATGTTAACTATCACCCTACAAAATACTATTACAAGTGATTATTGTTCCATTCCTCTTCGCTACAGAGACATTTCTGAACCCAAACAGACTACAACACTAATTTTTTTGGAGATAAAACGGAGCTATGTTTGGGAAACTTCTCCAAAGAACTTGACAATTCCTATGCAAACTTAATAAACTACAACACTATGGAGACAGAAAACTGACTAGAGGGGATGCATAGTCTGGATTGCATTTAAGAGCTACTATCTTAGGGCGGATGACTAAAAAGTTCCATTATTTATGGGCCTGCACAAAGCAAGTACACCTCCGTCATTGGATCAGCAACAACTTGTCACCTCATCATATTTGCGATCAGCATCTTCAGCTATCCACTTGGTTTCCTCTAACTGCTTTTCAAGGAACTCAATCCTTTCCTCATCACCTTGGCTCCTGTTTTCCAACACTTTTCGCCCTCTAGATGATAAAACAATGTAATTTATGAATTGAATAAGAGATCATTCTCCTCTTGACGCCACGCTTGCTGAAGTCACTAGTTGTTAAGTGCAAGACAATTGTACACAGAAAATGCAATTCCAAAAAGCCAATGCAATATGTGAGCAGTTCAAAGAAAAAAAAAGGATAGATGAAGAAAAAATGCAGAGGGGAAAAAAGATTCAACAATTACAGATAACAAGGATCAGAGATGTGACAATCACAAGTGAAACAGTCCTATTAGTGAGCAGTAACACAGAAGCCAGTCTCAACAAATGCATTTTGCAGAGTCCGCAAATATGAAGTCTTCATCAGTTAGGAGCTATGAAACAAGAATGGGTGAAACAAGTTGCAACAGTTTGAAAATGCAGGTTATGTTTGTTTGACTGACAAGAATAACAATCTTGCCAGAATACGACAATGGGGAGCTGCAGGACATGCCAGATGCCAGCCATGAATAGCAACGGCAAACCAATCACCTCATCGTATTTTCGTTCAGCATCCTCGGCAATGTATTTGGCCTCTTTGAGCTGAGCCTCAAGACCATCTATTCTCTCGTCATCGGCTAAACTTCTGCTTTCCAGCACCTTGCGTCCTCTGAACAACAGGAGAAAAGTAAATGAGAGGAAAATAAAAAATGAACTATTAACCAGCATAAAAACTGATATGCAGATGCTGAAACACACCATCTTCGCTGCCAGATGAAGACTCTGTCATGAAGAAAGATGTACATTAGTACCAAAATTAAAAGCACATTAACATCGGTGCTTTATGACCCGTCAAAACGACAAGACAAAGAGGGGTGCATGGAAATTTTGAATAAAAAGTTTTGCGGTGGGCAGTGCCTTTAGTTTTTGAAAGGTGAAAAAAAAAAATAAAAAAGGAAATTTCAAAACCTCCGTTAATGTGCTTTCAGTATCAAAACTATGCCAGAGATAATCTCCGACGGAATTATGCCACCAGGACAGATACTTACCTCATCATACCGAGCCTCTGCTTCACTAGCTACCTGTGTGGCTTGTCTGTAGCATGTCTCTACTTCTTCAAGTCGCTTATCACCAGTAACCCATTTGTTTTCTACTGATCGTCGCTGCCTACATGCAAAAAAGAGATCATGCATTGCTTTCTCCATCATGCAAATTTTAAATAATTTTTGTCCCTTAAATATTCCTTAATTTCTACTGTTTTAAATTATATTACAAATACTACTACACCCTTCAAGAGAAAGAAAACCTTGAAAGAAGGCCACCTGAGGAGTTATTTTTCTACTCGCACGAAGGGAGATAATAAGCAAGACCCAAACAATATATTAAAGTTTACAATCCAAAAACTGCGAATTGCTGTAACAACAGCCTTTTCTTCTTTTCTTCTGTGCGTTCTCTTCTAGATCTCAGGGGCCATTGACAGCTGGTTCTTCAACCTGCGGTGCAACTGATTCTTACGTTACGTATATATATGACCTAAGATCAGGGGTGTGGATGAATGACAGCGGTAAGGAGCCAGGCGTAGTAGTAGAAAGAGTCAGGCGTAAAGGAGAGAGGAACCCCGAGGAGGAAGGTAGGGGGAAGCAGATATATGTAAATAGAGGACCTGTATTAACCATCAGACATCCTAAAACCCTTCTTTCTATATCACTAACAACTTGTCTCTAACCAGGTAAAATTGAGACAACCTTCAAAACAGCAAATTCAGCCACAGACTGTATTAGATAAAACTAAAATTTAGTTACTTCTTCCATAGAAAGGCCTCAGAATTACCCAAAAAGGGCCACAGCACTTAAACTTCCAGCTATTCATGTCATACTTTTTCAACCTGGGACTCTAATGAAGCCCTTTTACCCCAAAATACGGGTCTCTCTTCTAGGCCATCCCCAAATTGCTTTGCTATGCACAGCAAATGTGATGTCCCAGGTAACCAGGACAAAGAGCAGTAATGGTTGGGGATCGTTAAACTGAAACATCATTCAGGGAAACACTCCCAAGTGAATTCACAAGTACAAAACAAAAACAGGGCCAATGAAAAAATAATATCTGGGTCAGGATGCAGAACTAAGCATCTACAGCAAGGAATTTTTAAAAATTCAAACGTAAAAGTAGGTAATTATTTTAATCTTTCCATTTCCACCTACTAAAAGAAGTAACAATGCTTCTCTATGACCTTTTCTTCTTTTACAATACATTTTTAAAGTCATTTATCAAATTAAAGGTGTGGCAGTCTGGAAAAACGATTCACATAAATTATTATTATTTTAGAAATTCTACAACTGATCGTGAAAAACCTTTAACATCCCAGTATGTCAGTCTAAGTCTTTCAAACCCAAATATCCCACAAAAAGAACTTTAAAAAAGAACTTGTTTGGATAAATTAGCAATATTCATAATCATCAGTCAGAAAAATGAACAAAAAAATTACACGTACATGTTGAATTGAATAAAACTTCAATAATATATTTTCAGCCACATCTTTGTAGGACTGTGTAGAACTATCTTCTGTCTGGTGTTCCCCGCCCATCACACTATTTTACATTCTGCCAAGTGACAATGTACTCATAGCAGAGCAGAAGTGTGGGGTGGAAAGGAAGTGTGGGGTGGAAAGGAAGTGATGGGGCAGACTGGATTATTGTTCTCCTCCATACATATATAAGACAATTCAACAGAAATATAGGTCTGAAGGACATATATTGGTAAAGAATTGTACAAGGGAAATAAAAAAATAAAAAGTACCTTTCACTCTCGTCAGCAGCCTTTGAGGCCTCTTCCAGTTTCTCTGTGGCACTCTGCAAACGCTCCTCTGATCTCTCAAGGTCCTCCTCCAGCAGTTGGATGCGCCTTTGAAGTCCAGCAGTCTCGCTTTCCAACTATGAAAGGAAAGGAAAAAGTTTGGTCAAGCATGGATCCATTACCAAAAAAAAAATCAAGATATATATATATATCATATATTTATCAACCGAAATATAAATGTTTTCTTTACTTAGGAGGTCATTTTGAAGGTGAAACATTCTGCATTGCCCATGGTTCCATGCGTCTTCCTGTTGCCAATGTCACGTAGAGAAACGCACTTCGTATTTTTAATATTTTTTAATGATTGGATATTTCATGGGTTTTGTTTACGAAAAGAAGAACGTATTTGTGTCCGCACCGAGCATTACCATTGACGATCTACTACTTCTAGATCTAGATCTACATAGAGTTCAAAGAAGAAGGCAAAGGTAAAATTATCTTTAAAAAGCTTGGTAAATGTTGCATCTAAAACTAGTAAAACAGATGTTCCCAATCTTCTTAATTATCCCTCTCTCAGAGTAGTTTCTTCCCAAACAACGATAACCTTTCAAGCTGCAGCTTGAAATTTCAGCTCCCTATCCCATTCATTGGAGTTCAGTTTACCTTTGAGCCAACTTAGACTTAGATTAGGCGGTACTCAGGTAAATTTTTACTTTCACTCCCGCACACAGATGCACTGTTTCAGGGGTAAAACTGCAGTACTGTTTGCTGCAGATCACACATAAAGCCACTAAAACTGTCGCAAATCTATTTTCAAGACAATTTCAAATCTAACAGTAAAATATAAAATTATGGGTGTAAAAACAGGGGGGCATGCCCCCCTGGAACCCCCCCGATTGGTCCAAAGCATGTCTATCTCGGTTAAAAACAATCAAATATTTCAAAAACTATTAAATTGCGACGAAAATGAAGTTGATATTCGTGTTCAGCGCATCAATATTTAGTAGAAAATGGACAACTGGTAGCTGAGTGTGAGACGGGAGGGGAAGGAAAAAAATACCGATTAGGCTACACAGTTCACAGTATCATTCACATCCACATGTCTGTGGATACTTAACTGACAAGATACTTTTAACTGCTGAAACCAGATATAAATTGAACTCTTAACCCTTATATTCAAATTCAGCGATCCCTGTGTGTGTTACATGCATCTCCAATAATCATATACCAGTCAAAAGGAATGCACGTACACATAATAATAGTTAGCCCGATAGGCCTCTATCGTCTTCATCTAATATCTAGAATCTAGAACACGGAAGTAGGACTGCGCAACCTATGATTTTGCAAACTCATGCGATTGCTCATCAAAAGATGAAACATCTGAAGTAAGCACAAAAGCAGAGATAAACAGAAGAACTGTCATTGCACTTATAAATCATCAAGATCATTCACAGAGCAATCTGTAACGTCCGAAAAAAGACATAAAAGGCCAGAACATTCATTCAAATGTGAAGCAACCCACCTGAGACCGATCATCGTCCCTTCGATTCAACTCTTTTTTTAGGGCTTCGTTCTCGTCTCTTAACGCATCGTTTTCAGCCTTAAGGCTTCCCATCTTTTGCTTTAAGGTACCAATTGCCCCCGAAGTGGCTGCATGCATATTTTGGGTTGCCATCTTGTCATACACTAAATTTTGCACAGAAACAATCCAAGAAATCCGCGGTCGGGCCCGACACAGCAGCACACAACACAGACCGGCTTCCTGACCGGACAACGAGACAAGGGTGTTACAAGTCCGAGACAAAAATTGAGTTACCCTAAGCCAAAATGAACACCATGTACCAACCAAAAGCTCTAATTAAGAGAATAAAACGTTAAAAAGTCAACGACAGCTTCGTGAGTAAGGAAATCAGCAAAAACAGACTAATCTTCGCACAAATTCAATCATGAGTCACACGGCATATTTGTCCGCCAACTTAGTATGCGACGGGGGGACAGGACTGATCACGTGACAATTCGTCCTTCCGTCTGACCCTAATACCTGGCTGTTCATGTTGTCGCATTTCTCCCTCGAGGTTAAACGTTTCCAAATATGGTATAACACAAGGACTTCGACTTAGAGACTTCCAGTAAGTGGCGGGAAAGGTTCAAAAACATGAAAAACAAATTAACTAACATTGTAATCATTATCTAATTCAGAGGAACAAGGCGAGCTCACACTCTTGACCCAATACATTACACATATTTAAATTACATTATAATGATATATTTATCTGTGTACATGTATGTTGAAAAATATGTGCACATGAATTTATAGGACTACACAATACACACGTGTTTTGTTATATAGGTCTATTCATCCGCGCGCGCGCACACACACACACACACACACACACACACAC